CCAAACTGTGCTGATGAAACTGCAGTCCACAGCAGAGGGTACAGCCAATCAAGGAATGCATTAGAGAGATTTTCATTTCAATTTCATCTTGGTGAAAAAGAAAATAAACCTTTAACACACACACACACACACACACACATATATATATATATATAATACTCTTAACTGTTGTATCAAAACATCCAGATTCACAGAAACAATAGAGCAGATCGTTTAATGCTATTTTAAATATCCTGACTCACAGGTAGAGTTTCTTTCCAGGTTGCTATGACAATGGAAGGACGCACTATGGCAACAGGAAAGTCGACGGATTCCTCTTGAAACAGGTTCTCAGCCGCTGCTTTGGTGAACGTATACGTGTTCGGCCATCCGTTGAGTAGTCTCGGCGTTAACTTTTCTAGCAGTTTGAATTCTTCTAAGAAACTTGAAATCAAGATTAAAGGGAAAAAACGTTTGATTTTACATTTATAAAAGTGTTTTTTTCTTGCACTTTAAATGTCTTTAACAAAAATTACGACTGTGAGAAAAAAAAATCTCTCTCTCTCTCTCTTGATTCTTTAATTCTAATGGAATGACTTTATTTGGAAAGGCCCAGCATGGCCAGAGGGTTAGGGCGCTTGACACACAACCTAACGGTCACAGGTTTGAATCCCCGTCCCACCAAACATGGCAGGTGGTTAGGGCGCTCGACTCGCAATCTGGTCGTGTAGTTTTATTAAATAAAGTTACGTCTACGTGAGTTTATTTGTCTGACCACGTAACTGTTTTTCAAATAGACCAGGATTTACCGATCTAACGCATAATGTCTGCAAGAAAGCGTAGCTTAAATGGCGTGCGTGAAAATGGTAGAATAAGGAAAATTCAAGCGAAGGGCATGAAACTACCGTAAATGTTTTCTGGTGACGGCTAGTTTAAAATATTTACTAGCCATTTCTAAAAACACACGTTTCCATCAATTTTAAAGCACGTGATTAGCAAGTTCTAAGAACACGTGACTGCGAAAGATGTTCGATACTTTTGAAGTAATGTAACTGGCAATAAACGATAATTGATACAAAGTTTATTAAACATTTACCTTGTTATGTTTACTAGCTTCTGAACCTCCAGAGGAGAAGGATAAATTTTTTCTTCGATCACCTCTCTGTTGCAATTGCAGTATGCAGTAGAGACGTGAACCAAGGCCTGAATGAAGTATCAGTAAACTAAGCATCAATACATTGTGAGGTAAGTGACAATTCATATAAACATTACACAGATTAAAAATGATTTAATGAAGATCAAAACCCAAAAAAAGGTACACTTGTGATAAAAGCAAGAGGTTCAGTGATACACTAAATGCTTCTGGTGACTTTACATTAAATAAGTTGATAAACACACTCACTTATATTTTCATTTCAAGTGCTCTTAATTTCAGATTCTTTGTCTATCACAAAATGATAATTTTCATGTCAATATTTATTAATTATAATTTTGGTATACTCACAGACCACGATGGTAAATAACATATTTGTATCAAAAGTAATATATATATATATATTGTAGCTAACCCTTTTTTTTTATTTACATTCTTTTATAGGCGTCAAGAGGGTCATACTGTAGCACAGCTAGAATGTCTGAACTGTTTATTTGATTCATTTATATAAAACTGAACAGAAAATGAGCGTATTTAAAACGTTCGGTTTTTATCAGTGGCTTATTACTTTTGTAGAGTTTATATTAAACAAATTATAGTTTTGTTTTTTGATGAGTTAAAAACGACGTAACTTAAGATGAGGCATCTTCTTAGAGTTAAAAAAAACGACGTAACTTAAGATTGGGCATCTTCTTAGAGTTAAAAAAACGACGTACCTTAAGATGGGGCATCTTCTTAGAGTTAAAAAAACGACGTACCTTAAGATGGGGCATCTTCTTAGAGTTAAAAAAACGACGTACCTTAAGATGGGGCATCTTCTTAGAGTTAAAAAAAACGACGTACCTTAAGATGAGGCATCTTTTTACACAGCTCAATAACTTTTTTTGTCCCCAGTACGTTCATGTCAACGGAGATTCTAGTCAACCAGGAGAATAAAAGTGATTAGTTAACGGATATTCTAGTCAACAGGAGAATAAAAGTGATTAGTCAACGGGGCTTCTAGTCAACCAGGAGAATAAAAGTGATTAGTAAACGGAGATTCTAGTCAACCAGAAGAATGAAGGTGATTAGTCAACGGAATTTCTAGTCAACCAGGAGAATAAGAATGATTAGTCAACGGAGATTTTAGTCAACCAGGAGAATTAAAGTGATTAGAAAACGGAGATTTTAGTCAACCAGGAGAATTAAAGTGATTAGTCAACGGAGATTTTAATCAACCAGGAGAATTAAAGTGATAAGTTTACGGAGATTCTAGTCAACCAGGAGAATTAAAGCGATAAGTTTACGGAGATTTTAGTCAACCAGGAGAATTAAAGCGATAAGTTTACGGAGATTCTAGTCAACCAGGAGAATTAAAGCGATAAGTTTACGGAAATTCTAGTCAAAAGAAGTGATAGGAATGAAATTTGATCAGATTGATACGAACAAAAATTGACCAGATTGATATGAACAAATGGACCAGCTTTTCAAAGAAAGAGTGACCTTAATTACAAACAAACAAACAAATGTTTTCAGTTCTTCAAGACCAGAAAGACTAATATGAAATTCTGTTATAATTATGTCTGTAGTGTGCTGTCATCTGTCGGCAGATTAAGAAAGTTATTGGAGATAATATAAAAATACTTTCCCTGTGACGACACATACGCGAATGACAATAAGTTCAAAAAACGTAACGACCCCCGGGAGCTATTAGTTTTCATTTTAAAAACAAGCTAGCTACATAGATCAGAACTAAACCTGAACTCAGTACGTGCTACCTATATAGGTTAGGACTACAACCTAACCCAGTAAATAACGCATCTATTTTCATATATCGGTCTAACTAGAAGTGTATTGTTATGATAAAACAACAACAGTGATTATAATCTGTTATTTGGGTATATTCGCTTTCATTTTATTTTCGTCCGTAATCCCAATAATATCTCATGATGTTTGGCCAACTTATGATATTTGGTTGGTTCTAAATCCACCCACTAAGGAGAACAGTGTAAAACAATTCTCATGATAATAAAATACAATAAATGAATAACAATGAACATAAATATGATATATATCAAGCAGGCGGTAGCACTGCATACATAGTGATGGCTCGGATTGTTCATCGAAATGGTGTTTTAAATATCTCCTCAGTATGTCATCAAAACTTAACCATACTATACAGTGTTACCTTTTATAACAATATCTATGTAATGACTGAGTCCCTAGTTCAACAATGTCTGTAAATATCATAACAAAAAGTTTGATTTTTTGTTCTTCTTTCTTTTCTTATTACATGATAACTCAAAAACCAAAACAATGGTGTCAACCATTTTCACTGAGTTCACATAGTTTCAAACGGTGTATGAACATTTATAAGCATTAGTAATAACTAGTAGTAATTTAAAAAAAATCATTATTCTAGTGTAAACGATGCTACCATTACCCCTTGAAGTTAGCTTTTTTACAGACATTTGGTGTTCCTTCAAAAACCTTACATACAGGGTGAAATAGGAATAACCAGCTAATAATAGATAAACAATAAATATTACAGTTGGAACATCATTGTATTTAGAACTTGATTGTAAATACAACCTTCCTGTGTCTATTGAAACACTGTATTGAAAAACAACAAGTAAACAGCTAAAGTAAATGGGGGAATGGCTAATATCCATCTTTAAAAAACAACACAAACAAGATAGTAGGGATGGTATTTGTATCATCTCTTCATAATATCACAGGCACACAGTGTAGTAGGATGTTAACAGATAAAAGTAGGATAACCTCATTTGTGATTGGATAGTTATATATATATATTGCTACATGTTAATTTTTGCCTATGATATTATGTAGGGATGATGTAAATGCCATCCCTACTATCTTGTTTACATTATTTTAGCCATCCCTACATTTACTTCATTTTTTGAAAAGTTTTTCTTTACTTGTATTTAAATATTCAACATTTTAAGCAAGTACATTTATTTTAAAAGACAGTTCCGAGTGACGTAGTTACACTCACTTGAGAGGTTCTTGGAATCGAACTGCTGCCGCGCAGTGAAAAACCACGGAAACTTTTTCCTTGAGAGTGTCCAAGTCGGAGGGACTCACGCCTAGTCCGGGAAGGGTCATGTCCCCATCAATAGCCACTATCTTCCTTAATAGTTCTGGACTTGTTTCGTGTACGGACTCAAACAACTGAAATAATAAATACCGAATGACCTCTGCTCGTATAACATGTTTATTAACCCTATTTCGACGAGAAACCTGGAGCCAACTCAAATAACGAAATGACTATTTACACAAACATCTCAGCTCACCGACTGTGTTTGGAAATATTTGTGAAGTGGTAATTCATTCTGGCCACACGGGATTAGACGAGGTTATTAACTAACCCAAAACCTCAATTTTTTAGTACTGGAAAGAAGCTTCCAAGCGACCCATTTTTTACTTATTGTAACTTAAATAGAAAGAAGATATTCATTAACTTCTGTGCATTAATTAGTCAACCAGTTAATTAATTAATTAGTCAATGGAAAACAACAAATGTTAAGAATGTTTTACTATTTTTGTTAACAACGACAAAAACATTCTTAACATTTGTTGTTTTCCATTGTTGAAAAGTTACTATTTTTGTTAACAACGACGTTTTCAACAATGATCTTATACTTACATAGTCTTCTGGGAGGATAAAGAAAGTGATTATATAAGAGATGACTTTTTTTCATACTCCTGAAGATTTATGCTCGAATCAAACGATGCATAACGGCTAAAACTGTATCTTATTAAATATATATAGCGTTTAGGACAAATGGAGGTTTGATTTTATCAAGTTTAAACTTGTCTTGTTTATAGATACTTCCCAAATTTACATCAGTCTTTATCTTTACTTTGATCATCTTCGTCAATAATTACAACCCAGAACTTTCCATGTTTTCAAGACTTGGCTTCGAGTTCAGCATACAATCTAAACACAAGATGGACGACAGGCTTACCTTCGTGTTCAGCATACAATCTAAACACAAGATGGACGACAGGCTTACCTTCGTGTTCAGCAT